TTCGCCGAAAGAGGAGAACGTTGTAAATAGAAATGAATAATTAAAAACGAAAATATTTCGCGAACTTTTAAAAATTAAATATTAAAAACCGGGTAACAACAAAACTTACAACCGGAAGACAAACAAACAAACAAACAAAAAAAAAGGTCGCAACATAAATTTTTTTTTCTTTTTTTTTAACCCGGAAGTCCAAAGAGAAATTGAAATACGTCCTCATTCAGATTTTTCTTTTTTTTTAATTTAAAAAATTCTTTTTTTTTTACTGTAATTCCCCCTCCCCCTTCTTCTTCTTTTTCTTCCCCTTTCATTATTACCGAAATAATAATAATAATAATAAATCGTAACAACGTCCCGAATTCTCCCTCCCCAACCATCACCACCGATCAAAGAAATTAAAATACAAAAAACCTGGAAAATTTCTCAACGACTCCTTTGTCAAATTTTCCGTCATTAAAAATAACAATAATAATAATAATAATTTTTGCGGTTTTGTATGTTCAGAAAAGAAAAACTTAAAAACTTTAAAATCTTTTTTAACTTTAAGATTACGTAAATAATAGTAATAATAATAATAATAATAAATAAATAAAAATATAAAAAAATAAATTGAAAGCATCGATTTTGACCTTTTTTTTCAAAATAATAATAATAATAATAATAATAATAAAAGTGGGGGAAAGAAAAATTTATTATTTTTTTTTTCACTCCAGAAAATTTCTTCCAGGAATTCCTACCCCCTAAGCTTCTTACGTAAATACATAACTCTTGAATTTTATGGAATCCATGATTTTCCCGATGATTTTCCCCGATTTGACGTTCGTAAATTTTTATTATTTATTATTATTATTATTACTACTACTTTTTTTTTATTTTCTAATACATATTGAAAACATTTTATCGTCATCATTATCATCGTCGTCGTCGTCGTCGTCATCGTTACTACCATTATTATTATTATCATCATAATTTTTTCCGTTAGGAAAATAGAGAAAATTTATTATTATTATTATTATTATTATTATTATTATTATTATTATTATTATTATTATTATTATTATTATTATTATTATTATTATTATTATTATTATTATTATTATTATTATTATTATTATTATTATTATTATTATTATTATTATTATTATTATTATTATTATTATTATTATTATTATTATTATTATTATTATTATTATTATTATTATTATTATTATTATTATTTTTACGGAGGAACGAACGTAAATATGAGTTTCGATTTTACATCATCGATGAAAAACTCTCCCCTCGAAGTGAGAGAGAGAGAAAAAAAAAAATGAAAATGAAAAAAAAAAAAAAAAAATCGGTTTCGTCACCGTGACGTCACCGTTTAAAACGCAATTCGGATCGTTACGCCGTCTCTGTGACGTCATTTAATTGATTTAAACGAATGCGCGCGTACGTGTACGTAAAAAGAAAATTTTATAAATATCTTCTTTTCTCTAACTTCTCCCATCTCCCAATCCCACCTCCCAACCCCCGCCTCCGCTCCCTGCCTCCCCTTCGTGCTCTTACAAAAATAAACGAAAAGTTAATTAATTAACGATGTCTAATAATAATAATAATAATAATAATAATAATAATAATAATAATAATAATAATAATAATAATAATAATAATAATAATGATAATAATAATAATAATGATAATAATGATAATAATGATAATAATGATAAATCAATAAATAAATAATGTATATACAATGTATAAAAAATTTAATTATGAATTTTAATCGAATAATAATAATAATAATAATGTAATTATTATTTCATTTATTATTATTATTATTATTGTTATTAATATTAAAATTTTCCCCGAATCGTTTTTTGTTACGTTCGTCATCGATGACGTCATCGTTCTTCAAAAAAAAAAAAAGTGACAGTCTCAAATTATATGGATTCGGGAAACAATTTTAAAAAATAAAAAAATAAAAATTGACGTAATAATAATAATAATACTTCATTAAACGATATATCGATGTATCGATCGATATATCGCTTAAAATAATTTTCTTTTTGTTTTGTTATTAAGAATAGAAAAATCAACGAATGGCTTGTTTTGTTTTGTTTTTTTTTTTATAAAATAAAATTCATCCGTGTCGAAACAAATAATAATAATAATGGAAGGGAAAAATTCAAAATGGCGGAAATTTATTTAAGTATTTTCCTTTTTTTTTTTTTGTTTAAATTAATAATAATTCTGGCAATTATAATTTTCTTTTTTCCTTTTCTTCTCCAGATTGTAATTAAAAGTAGATATTAGTGGTAATTTCAGAGCATTTTATATTTTAAAAAAAAACAAAACCGAATAATTAACCTACAAAAATTCTCAACGGAATACTAAGACTAATTTTTTCCTCTTTTTCTTCTCCATTTTAATCTCTCTCTCTCTCTCATTCTCTCTTTTTCTTTTTTTCTCTTTCTATCCTTCTCTCTCTTTTTCTTTTTTTCTCTTTCTATCCTTCTCTCTCTTCAACTCTTCCTATTTTTTTTTCTCTCTCTCTCTCTCTCTTTTTCCCTTCCACTCTTCATATTTCTTTCCATCTCTCTTTCACTTTCTTTCACTCCTTCTTTTTCACCCTTTTTCCTATCTCCCTCTTCCTATCTCCCTCTTCCTCTCTCTCTCTCTCTATTTTTTTTTAAACGATTTTTTTTTCTTTTTTTTTTTTTTTTAAAGAAATAAAAGTAGGCTTAACTAACTAAGCTTTCGTGCTTAGAGTTTTCATTGCACTGAACAGAAAAAAAAAAAAAAAACTAAATAAAAAATAAAAACTTTTTTCCTTCTCTCTCTCTCTCTCTCTCTTTCTCTTCCTTTTTTTTAAATTAGCAGAAGACTTTAAAATTTAAATCCCACTAAATAACTATACACGAAATTCCCTCCCCCGCCTCTCCCCCCACGTTTCCATAAATAAAAAAAAATGATGAAGATGACAATAATAATTTTAAAAAAATTAACTGTTAATGCGTACATGCGTGAGTGCGTGCGTATACATCGTAATACGATCGATCTATCGATCGATATATCGATTATTTTATTACACACATAAATAAATTTTTATTTCGTTTGTTTGTTCGTTATTATCTCAACTTTTCGTTCTTTCGTTTGTTTGTTACGATATTAAATTTTACTTTTTTTTTCTTAACGTTTTTTTTTTTTCAAAAAAAAGGGTAAAAAAGAAGGGAAATTCAAATTAAATTCCAATTTTTTTTTTTTTCTTTTCGAAAAAAAAACAAATTTCAATTTTTTATCGTAAAAAAAAAAGGTAAAGATAAAAAAAGACAATAAGGTTTTTCTTTTGTTTTGTTTTTAACGATTAGAAGAAATTCATTTGACTTTCGTAGTAGTACAACACCTGATGCACGTTGTAAAAAAAAAAAAAAAGAAAAAAAAAAAATAATTTTTTTTTTCAACCTTTTCCTTTTTCCTTTTATTATTATTATTATTCTTTCCATGAGAGTTTCATTAAGTAAACTGTTTTCTCTCTCTCTCTCTCTCTCTCTCTCTCTTTTTTTCACCGGTAATGTAGAAAATCAAATGGATTGCAAAAATAAAAATAAAAAATAGAAAAAAACTTTACAAATATAATTTTATGTCCGTATTGTAAAAAAGTTTTTCTATTTTTTGAATCAAATCGATTTTAAACGTTTTTCTTCCCTTTAATAATAATAATGATAATGATAACAATAATGATGATGATGATGATGATAATAATAATAATACATTTTTTTTAAATTTAAAACCGGCTCGAAACAAAAAAAACAAAAAATTTTCTTTTTTTACAATCCACACGATCAATTTATTATTATATTATATACAATTATCATTATTATATTATTTTTACCGTTTGTTGTTTGTTGTTTGTTGTTGTTGCGTGACGAAAGAACAACCTAAACATTATCATAACTTAAAAATAACATTTTTATTTTTATTTTTATTTTATCGGTCGGCCATATTTTAACGATCTAATTGTTTCTGTCATTTGACCCGTAAACAAAAAAAAAAAAAAATTTTTTTTTCTCTCCCTCCCTTTAATGCATTATTAAAACGCACGATGATGATGATGATAATAATAATAATGATAAAAATATATACGTTATCATCATTTATCGATCGATCTATTATTATTATTATTATTTGAATAAAAATTTAAAAGATCGATAATAACGTAAATAAGTAAATGTATTTAAATTAAACTTTTAACCGAAATTTTCTTTCCTTCCCTCCCTCCTTCCTTTTCATTACCCGAAAATAATAATAATAATAATAAAAAATAATAAGGAATAATTCATTAATTCGTAATGAAAAAAATTTTCTTCTGCTGTATTGTAATCACACATCATTTAATGAAAATTTTATATAAATAAATAAATAAAGAAAAATTTATTTATGTTTAAATAACGATGATGATAATAATAGAAACATCTTGAAAATATTTGTTGTTCTTTTTTCATTCTCTCTCTCTCTCTCTTTTTTCATTCTCATTCAGTCGGGAAATACGATAAAGAATCTTTCTTTTATTCAATCCAAATAATCTTCTTAAAGCTTAGTCACAAAAAAAAAAAAAAAAAAAGAAAAAGAAAACTTTAAAAATTTCCTGATTTTCACAAAAGTTAAGTGACATTGATAGAAAAAAAAAAAAAAAAAAACGAAAAAGTTTATCATTATTATTATCATTTCCCTTTTTTTAAAAAAAAAAAGCAATTTAAAGAATTAAAATCGTTTGTTCGTTTGTTTGTTTGTTTGTAAAAAAAAAACTACAATACTAAATCTTTTGTCGTTGTAGTGCCATTACAAAAAAAAATAAAAAAATTGGCTTTTGTTATTACGAGAGTTTTATTTAATTTAATTTTTTTTTTTTTTTTCAAATGTTGCAGGTTTGAAAACGATTGCTGTTGTTGATGATAATAATAATAATAATAATAATGATTATTATTATTATTATTACTAATGCCATGGACTCGATTTAAAAAATGAAAAATTTAAAAAACGAAACATGGTGGTGGTACGTAGAACCGGGAATAAACGTGACTCGGATAATCAATTCGATAGTTTACGATAAAGAAAACGTCGTGGAAGAAGACGAAGAAAAAGAACGAGAAGAAGGAAGAGGAGGAGGTGGAGTAGGAGTAGGAGTAGAAGGTGGAATCAAATTGTTGATTGAAAATTTAACGGATTGGAAAAAAATAAACGATACCGGGAGTGATAATTTTTTAATTGGTGATGATTCCACGTCGGATAATTGGTGGGCAATACTCGCTCTCATACTCGTCATAGGTACGGCAACCGGAAACATACTCGTTTGTTTGGCCATAACTTGGGAAAGGAGATTGCAAAATGTCACAAATTATTTTCTAATGTCATTGGCCGTGACGGATTTAATGGTCGCCGTTTTGGTGATGCCACTCGGAATATTGACTCTCGTCAAAGGTGAGTGAATGAATCACTTTATATACTATACACTACGATAAAACAAAAGAACCGGAAATGACGTCACGGGGAAAAGCGGTTAAATTCATTGTAAACATCGAGCATAGAAAGAAAAAAAAATTTTTTTTTTTTTATTTTTGTTTTCTTACACGAACGCCCACTCATTTTTTTTTGTTATTCTTTCCTTTACGAAAAAAAAAAATTTGCACTCAGTTTCTCTCTCCCCCTCTTTCTATCTCTCTCTCTCTCTCTTTCTCTTTCTCTCCCATTTTTTTTGTTCAGAATAAAAGAATTTTTCTTTTCAATCGATCAAATCAAAAAAAAAAAAAAAATTTTTTTTTTTTTATCGAAAGCTTTTTAACGGTATTTTACCACTTTTCCATAATGTCACTTTTCTTCTTACATTTTCGATTCCGCCCCCTATTCCCTCCTTCCTCCCCATTCTTCCCCTCAAGAAAAAAAAATTTTCTTTTCTTTTCTTTTCTTTCTTTTATTAAAAAAAAAAAAAAAAAATCGTCACTTCAAATTAAATTTTTTTTTTTATTATTATTATTATTATAAAGACAATGAATGTTTTTAATAAACCGCATTGAAAACGATGTTTTTGAAATTTGGCAACGTCGGATCGCAATCGAACGGGAAAACAAAAAAAAAAAAAAATACGTTACATAACTGTATTAATCCAACCAATGAAAACTCTTTGGAATTATTTAAGGGATAAAACTGGAGAATCTGGATGGAGTCTGATCGATTCGAAACAAGACTATTCAGATTTCATATCGCGTAGGGAAGAAATAAATTTTCCCCAAATTTTTTTTTTTTTCGGGAAAAGTTATAGGAAAACCGAGAAACGCGGTCGCCATTTTTATCAAAATGGCGGGCGGATGACAACACCAAACGACAAAATTTAAATTTAATGATGACGTGTTAGTTGAATTAACAAACCGAAATTTGTCAACGGATTATCAACCATTTCTTTTTCAACTTCAAATTTACAAAAAAAAAAAATGTCTAATGACACGTCAAATCGTACATAAATTTAAAACGAATCGATTCGTTTCCGTTATTACGACGACGTCGCGATTTCATTTTCCTTTTTTTTTTAAATTAAAAATTGTCAGGCAAAAAACAAAAAACTAATCGTCGCCATCGAAAAAAAAAATTTGTCGCAAAATTACAAAAAAGAAAAAAAGGGAAAAAAATTTTTTTTTTGTCGGGTCGTTAAATTTCTTTTTACGTTTTCATCGGGTAAAATGATTACCCATGGTTTTTCTCAGGGCGCCCGCGGGCGCAAAAAAAAAAAAAAATTTCCCCCATCTTTTTTTTTTTTTTTATAAATATATTTTTCAATGTGCGACAACAATACACGTCAACAAAAAAAAGAAAAAAAATTTTTTTCCCTTCGTTAAAAGTGTCAATAAAAAAAAAAAAAAAATTACATAATTTTATTTTGATCTACTTACATACTGTCTCTCTCCCTCTCTTCTTTTACATCGTAAAAAAATTTTCTTTCTTCTTCTTCTCTTTCTTTTTCCACGACGATCTAAATAATCTCTTCATATTATTTCTCTTCTCATCTCCCCTTAAATAAAAAAAAAAAAAAAAAAAAATTTAAATACAAATCCAATAATTTTTATTATTATTATTATTATTATTATTACTCTTATTATTATTATCACCATCATCATTATTATTATTATTACTATTTAAACAATTTGAATTTTAAATTAAGGGAAAATATATAAATAAATAAATAAATAAATAAATAAATATTGATCATAACTTTTGTGTTGTTAGGCTTTTTATTATTAGTTTTATGATTTGGATTTATTTATTTAAAATAGAGGGAGAGAGACAGAGACAGAGAAAGGGGGAGAGAGAGAGAGAGAGAGAGAGAGAGAGAAAGAAACAGCGGAAAAACCTTCTCATCACGTGATACTAGTAAAAATAAAATTTTTTTTTCTTTTTTTATTTGATTTTCACGTTGGAAATAAAAAAAAAAAACTCTTTCGGTGTACGATCAACAGGTTAAATTTTTTTTTCGTTTTTTTTTTTTCTTTTTCGAAATATATTTTTATGAAAGTAAAAGTTAAGAAAAAAATTTAATTATTAATATTATTATTATTATTAATATTATTATTATTATTATTATTATTATTATTATTAGTATTAGTATTATTATTTAAATGAATTTTATTGTTTAAAAGTAAAAATTAATTTTTTATGACTTTTCTTTTTTCCTCCTTACTTTCTCTCTTTCACTGTCTGTCTACCTTTCATTTTCTCATTCACTCTCTGTCTTTTTTTCTTTCTCTCTTCTTCTCCCTGTTTTTCTTTCTTTTTTTCTATTTCTTTCTACTTTTGTTTCTTTCTCTTTCTATGATTTTTTACAAGCAGTTTTATATATTTTATTATTTCTATTTTTCTCTCTCTCCCCCTCTCTCTCTACTTTTCTGTCTCTTTCTATTTTGGTCTCTTTGTTTTTCTCTCTCTCTCTCTCTCTTTCTTTATTTTTTCATTTGCGCCTTTTTCTTCCTCCCTTCCTCCCTTCCTTCCTTTCTCTCTCTCTCTCTCACTTAAAAAACAAATAAAAAAAAAATTGAAATAAAATAATCGTAAAAAAAAAAAAGAAAAAAAAATTTATTTACTCTATGACGACTTTATGATTTAACTAGAAAAAAAATTATTCCGAAAAAAAAAACAAGGGAGAAGGAGAGGGGGAGAGGGAGAGAGGGCGAAAATTTACATTTGCATATTTATTATTATTATTATTATTACTTTGATTTTCTTTGTTTCTTTTTACCCTTTTTTTTTTAAAATAAAATAATACACGTAAACATAAAATTTAATTCATTTTACCATACGATATTAGTCTTTTGACACGACTTTTTTTTAAATTGTTTTCTTTTTTTTTAACACGGCATATACGTTTTAAACGTAATAATCAAACGAAACGTCATGTTCAGAAATTTTTTCCCTTTTTTTTTTTTTTTTTACTTCGATTTAAATGTTATTCCCGGGTGATGGGGAAATGGAGGGGGGTTTAAAAACAACAGGAAAAACAACAGCAAAGCAAAAAAAAACTTTTTTTTTAAACAACATTTCAAACCGGAAGTTACAGAAAACGTATTTTTTTTTATAATACATATAATCTTTCGAAAAAAAAAAAAAAATTTTTTGCGTGGTAAAATTGTCTCGTTTGTCGTCGTCGTCTTCGTAGTCGTTTTTAAATTTAAAATAAATGAAGTGTAAATGATAAATATCCATAAATATTATAACGAAACAAACGAACAAACAAACAAACAAACAAACAAACGAGGAAAAAAGAAAAGAAGAAAATTTTTTTTTTTTTTGTGTCAGTACGTGATTATATCATTGCAGCGATTTTCTCGATTTTTTTATTTTTTTTTATTTTGCGGAGTAAGAAAATAACAAAAAAGGAAAAAGCAGAAGAAAACATGTAGAGAAAACAAACGAAATAATTGTTTAAAAGAAAAAAATTGCAAATTCTACGCAGGAAATAAATAAATAAAAAAGGGGAGGGGGGAGGGAAAAACGATTTGCGTTCGTGACGTTTGAACGATTTCTCAAGACCTATGCCGGCCCCCCACATTGCTTGTTGTAAAATTCGATTCTAAATCTCTCTTTTTTTCTTCTTTTTATAAAACAAACAAACAAATAAACAAACGAATAATAATAATAATATTATTATTATTAAAAAAAAAGAAAACGCGTTTGTTCGTATGAATGTAGCTTTTTGTCTTTGAGGTTTTACATTTAAGGTTCAAACATTTAAATACGTCACGAACAAAATTAATCTTTTAACGTTTTGTTTTTTTTGTTGTTGTTGTTGTTGTTGTTACAAATGACACGTGCATAAAGGTAAAGAGTAACACGTACACCTAAACGCACTCACCTATTCATATTTCTCTTTCTCTCTCGGAGTAATTATCCCTACATCTTTCTCTCTTTCTGCCTCTTTATCTTTTTCTCTGTCTGTATTTTCTTCATCTCTATAAAGTTTTCTCGGGAAAACTTTTTCTCTCTCTCTCTCTCTCTTATTTATTTATTTTCTCTCATTTTCTCTATTTCTGTCTTTCTCTCTCATTTTCCTTATTGCTCTGTCCCATTTTGTTATTTTTTTTCTCTTTCAATCCCTCTTTCTCTCTCTCTCTCTATTTCCTTTTTTCTTTCTCCCTTCTTTTTTTTCTTTCCTCTTCATACGCTTTCTCTCTCTCTCTCTTTTTGTATCTATCTCTTTTAATTTCTCTTTCAATACTTCTTTCAGTCTCTCTGCCTCTCTCTCTTTCAATCACTTTGTCTATTTCCTTTTTTTTCTTATTGACCCTCATAAGCTTTCTCACTTTCTCTCTTTCTCAATTTTTCTTTCAATCCCTGTCTCTCTCTCTCTCTCTCTCTTTAATCTCTCTTTAAGCCTCACTTTTTTTTTCCATTTTTTATCACTTTCTTTGTAACTCACATCCTCTTTCTTAGTTTTAATTTTCCTATTAGTCCATTCTTATTATCTCTCCTTCCGTTTTTCTCCCTCCCACTCTGTTCCCCTCTCCGTCTCTATCTCACTCAACCTGTCTTTTTTTTCCCTTTCTCTCTCTCTTGGTTAAACTCATCTCATTCCCTCTCTTTCACTCTTGGTAAAACTCTTTCCCCTCTTCATTTCTTTCTTTCATTCTTTCCACTTCCTCTCTTCCCATCTCCTTTTTTCATTACCTTAAACCTTGACACACACACTCTCTCTCTCTCTCATATTTACCACGCAGATTTTTTTTACGTGACACTAAAACCACTTCCATTCCTCTTTCTCCACGATACGAATTAATAAAAAAAAATTTTATTTTATTTTATTTTTTTTTTAACAAACCCGCAATTTAAACAAAAATTAATCAAAAGCGCGATCAAAACTTTTTTCTTTTTTTCCTTTTTTTTCCTTTTTATTATTATTATTATTATGTAATTAATATTTTACGACAACCTTTTCTCCTTTTTAGAG